AAAAAAATCAGTTCATCATTTTCAGGATAATATTCACTCGTACCGCGGACACAGCCAAAGATTTTCCAGAAGAATAAACAGTGAATATACTGATTGACTTCACAGCTTGAATGTACGAACCGTTCCATGCGTACTTCTTTAGACGAAAAAATGATAAAGCTCTAATTTAACTCCAGAGTCGAAATTATCCGGTGTGAGACAACGATCTCTCTCAAAAACTCACCCATTTCATCAATATTATTTGCTTTCGTCATCCAAGTATTTCTTTGTTCATCTTACACTCTGACTGAAAATTCAGTTTATATTGAAGAACGAATGGACACACAAATTGAAAAAGGATTATATACTAAGTGTGTGAAACTCAAAACGATTTGCCTTGTGCATTTTGTATCCAACTCTTTGATCTTGATTCCAAATGTGTCAAACTTAATGTTCCAGTGAACACCAAGATGAGAGCTTCCTAATAACGTGATATCTCTCTGTGTAAGCAAACACCATAACGCGTGCTAGTTTCATTCACGCTAGATGATAATTCATCACCAAAAAAAGCCGCGCAAATCCAAACAGAGACAGGCAAAAATCGTTTGATTCTGGCTTGGTTGGATCAGTGCAGTGTTACAGAGGATATTTCTGATAAATTGTATGAGTGTGTAAATTATTTTCATAGATTATTTCATCCGATGTATTTTGTACGATTTTGCAGACTTTTGTTTTTTTGTATTGTAATAAAAGTATTTTTAAAAGATGTTCTCGTTTTTTTTTTACACATTTACAATTACATTGTCAAGTCTCACAATCCCCTGCGATATTTCAGCAATCGTCATGCTTGTTTACATTGGATATTGAGTTCCTGTCTGTGTTGTATTAATATGCTAAGTATTGTGTCTCGTGGTACATGGCATTTAAAGTCCCATCAACGACACAACTTACACAACTTTCAAATAGGTTATCTACTGACAATGCTATACAAATGTTAACACATCAAAATAAATATGAACAGTTATAATGTAAAAAAGCCATATGTTAATGTTTCACAGGAAAAGTATAGACATTGTACCTTTTCCCCAAGTAATTAATCACCATACGTAAATGACATTAACGTAGCCCACCAACATGTATTCTCAACAAGTAAATGCACAGTTCAAACATGCTCTACCCAATTTATTTTCAAATCTGTGTATTCTGTCATAAACATTATACACTCACCTGTAACGTCCACTGTGGTTGTGTCTGTCTGTGGTGGTGTTGTATTGTCAAAGTTGTTATTTCTCCCCTCACACGTCCATCTGTCCCTGTGACTGTAACTGTTGGCGGGAATCTGTATCCCCAGTGTCCTCATGTCTCTGTTACAGGTAATTGTGTAGGGTGGTACTGATGGACATCCTGTCCCAAAGTTTATAAGTAATGTACCTACTCTACCTTCACCATCATTTAGTTGATAGTTAACAGCAGCATTCTGTTGTGTGTAGTCAGCTGACCACTGACACGTGATAATGAGGGTCTGACCGGACACGAGCTGGACTGTAGGACTTGGACTGACCACCACGGATAATCCAGTTACACCTGTACAGATGAGAAAAGCGAGGATCAAAAGTTTGGTATGTTTTTACTATGTTAAGGAAATATAATTCGGCACGAGTAAAGGGTTAGGTGTTAGTTTGGTCTGTGTGTATATTGAGTATATAAATATATAGTCATTGTTGACATTAATTGAGATAACAGTTATTGTAAGTTTGTTGTACAGAGATTGGTTGCATGTTCTCCCTACTTTTACCCCAATTGAACATGTCTTGTCTTACGGCTGTTTAAGTTTATATGTCACATTCTAATTGTACTGGACGTTAATACTTTTAAATAAAGTATCAAAATTAAAGGTTGCCGAACCTATTATCAGCGTTACTTTAGTATGTGGACAATACAGGTAACTGATCGGTATACGTATGTCTCTCATCAGTTAAAGTACGTACATGTATTCATACATAAATTCAAGCAAGCAAGCAAGCATATGTTGACTTACGTAAAAATCTATAATCAAAAGCATATCTCAGATTTGTTATATTTTCAATCTTTCTAGTATCTTTCTGCACAATGTTTTCTATTAAATAACCTGATCAGAGCTACGTTCACAGGTAAAGCATGTGACTTTTTGTGTGAACTGTGAACAACCACATGCTATGTACGTTTTATTATATTTGCATTCTTGATGTTTGTTTTCTACATGAATATATCAGCTGTAAACAACTACCATTAGACCATGAACACACTATGAATACAACGATGCTCATACAACCAGTCAGCTGATTGTACACACAATGACCACACAATTCATATAACACCGCATTGTACCGTTTCTGATATTTCATCTAGTCTGGCACTGATTTTGTCTTGCGTGGGAGGAAATCTCTCTTTCACTGAACTTCTTTATCTTTTTTTTCATAAGAGGGATTCTGACCTCATTGACCCCGGTATCTATCCGCCTAATGCGTGTTTTATTTACATTATTCCTCTAAATTTGAGGTGACGAGTATGACATCATCAGAGTTGTGACATCATCTTTATATAACAGTTATTCCAACATAACCTATAGATCATGAGTAATTTCAAACATTTATAACCATGCCTGCATTATGTTGTCAAACAATTATTTTTAAGTCAGAACTAGATAATTAATGCATTCGTCTGTAATTTTCACACTGTACAGTCCCGTCCTGTAATCGTCATACTGTACAGTCCCGCCCTGTAAACGTCACACTGTGCAGTCCCGTCCTGTAATTGTCATACTGCACAGTCCCGTCACTGTACTGTCCCGTCCTGTTATCCCGATAATGTACACTCCCGTAACACTGTGCAATCCCGTCCTGTAATTGTCACATTGTATTATCCCGTCCTGCAAACCCCACACTCTACTGTCTTGTCCTGTTATCGCCACATTGTACAGTCACGTCATGTTATCCCCACACTGTACAGTCACGTCCTGTTATCCCCACACTGTAGTCACGTCCTGTTATCCCCACATTGTACAGTCACGTCCTGTTATCCCCACACTGTACAGTCACGTCCTGTTATCCTCACACTGTACAAGTCCCATCCTGTTATCCACACACTGTGCAGTTCGGTCCTGTTCACGTCACACTGTACAGTCCGTCCTGTAATTGCCACACTGCACTGTCCCGTCCTGTAAATTGTCACTTTGTACAGTCCCGTCCTGTAATTATCACTTTGTACAGTCCCGTCCTGTAATTGTCACTTTGTACAGTCCCGTCCTGTAATTGTCACACTGTACAGTCCCATCCTGTAATTGTCACATTGTACAGTCCTGTCCTAAAGTTGTCACACTGTACCGACCCGTCATCTAATCGTAACAATGTAAGGTTCTGTCCTTAAATCGTCACGATGTACAGTCAACCGTTCATTAAGTCTTCCCAACGACCTGCCGATGTGCATGTATTATGTTATTTTCAAAGGTGAAAATGTGTTTGTCATTTCATCAGAAAGTGACAATTATGACTTTCTTTCTCAAAGAAGGCACATTTTTCGGACTCGTTACAGAACGGATAGATCTTATTATTTTATAGTTTCCAAAATACTGCTGTACGAATTTCTGTGATTTTATTTTCCAAATTGTTAGTGTTGGCAAAGAACTAACACCAGACCGATTCGTAGGCTTTTGACATAATTCTTTCTTTTAGTTCATCTTGCCTAGAAATGTTCATTCTAAACAACATGAAACAATACACAACTTTATATACCGGTTTCCTGTCTTTTTGCGATTTTCAAAATACGCTGTCGACACTTATACATGCACACACGATCGTTTAAGAAATCATTATTTTAGAGGTTTTTTTATTTACTTTGAATTGTTTTATTTAGTTTTGAATAATTTCCAAATAAGCCCATACTTTACTTTGAAGTTTGAACAGTGTACCAAACAACCCAGTAATGGGAAAGGGGTCAATTTTGAACACAATGATGAAACGAAATGAAAAAGGAAGAACATTAGGAGAGATGATTTCAGAAAAAAGGACTGCATGTGGTTGAAATAAAGGTCATGACGTCATACTTGTATCCCATTATGACGTCAACACTGAAGTTCAAATCTGATCGGCCTTGGCGTCACTCAAAGGTATATTTAAAGGGTTAAAGTGCATTGTTCATTTTGGCGTCAATTTTGGTAGGTTGTATTGTGACGTCATAATGTATCAGGACCTCATTACTTTCTGTGTTGTGTTGTTGTTATGTCAACGTGAATTAGCCATTCCCCTGATGAACCTCTAAAGAGGAGTTAGCGCTAGGGAATCGAAGAATCTCTTGTCTTTTATTTTATATCAGCTGATCGGCGGAAGTCGAACATTTGAAGTTTGTGTGTAGGCTGGAAGTCTGGCTGTTCCATTTTTTATGGTTTATTATCCGATACTAACGTTAACAATATTACATTTACAAAAAGTATTGAAACTGTTTTATTGTAATTCATTGTAACGTAAATATATGAATTAAATGGATTTTGTTATCATGCACATTGCGGTAATGAATAGCAGTATATAGCTTACTTACATTCAATCAATAATGAACGCCTTTGTCGACAAAAAATAAAATTTAATACGCAATTTTGATCTATAGTTATAATCAATAAAGTTACGTTTTAAAAACTGTCAGTGTAATATATATATTTAATACATGTATATACTACCAACTTAGTTTCCAGCAGCTAGCCACTTTTGCCTTACTCAATTTGATAAGGGACTAATATATAATTACGGCATGATATTTTAATTAAACGGTTTTCTGTAGTCGCGATTTACATTCCTTTACATCTATTACTTTTTATACGAATAAAACAACAACACGAGTTTCTATGTATAGAGCGAACGATCAGGAACGTATGACAAAGACTGTAACATGCACGAGGATAAAACTAAAGTATAGGAACATAACATTAAGGCACATATCATCTAACAATTAAGTATATATATATATATATATATATGGGGCAAAGAAGAAATTCCAACAGTGTGGACAAGTTTAGGTTGTCAAATTTTCGGAGCGATCCGCTCCTTTTTCAAGACACAGTGAAACAGAACAGTTACATGTACATATACATCATATTACAAGAAGATAGAATTGATATACTATAATTGAAAATATAGCTATTATATAAAACCAATAGTCCCCTCGGCTAAAGACAGCCGAAGGCAGCAATTAAGCTGAGAGCATCGCGGACAAGGAACGCTGATGTAGAGGACCTATTCTTGCGCAAGATGAACTGTCATTATAAAGTGAGTCAACCAGAGATACCAAAAACGTGGAACATGTGCATTTGGAAATCTGCCCCGGTAAATGTGAAAAATCTCCAATCTGCTACGGAATGTCTCATTAGTCGCCTCTCAATACTGCGATGGATCTAAGTCACAGCAGGGGGTCCCACTTAGTCGCCTTTTTTGGTTTGTATATATATATATATATATGTGTGTTATTCAATAAATTTCCACCGTTATTACAGGATCATACCATTGAAGGTATATGTATGTTATTTACTAGAAGTTCTCTATCGTTCTTTCATTAGCATACGTACATACAATAAACACGAGTTTCTATGTATATATATAGTGGACGACACGGAAGTAGGGTATTTATAATTATAACCAGTTGTTATATATTTTTTCTCCCTTCACCTTATATAAGTAATCTTACCTTGGAATGTGGTGATGTACAGCCATAACAAACACTGTAATCGTCTGTCCAGTGTCATACTGACCAGGTCGATGGTCACACAACTGGTGTACAATTTGTTAACGATTACCCGAATACTTCCTGGTCTATTTTGAGAATCTCTGTAGCAGTTATGTCCCTTAGTCCACCATTATCTCTAACATTGAGACTGAAAGGCTTTAACTCGATAAACAAACTTCATTTGGTACACAATTTTGTAAAAGACAAATCCCAGAATATATCATTTATCAAAAACCAAGTAAAACCCTCAGAATGTCTTTACATTTCCACATTCTAGTAAAACTTCTGATAATTTTTATTAATTTAAATGTCACGATGTGTCACATATGCATGGAATAAAGGTATACTTATAATTTAGTTCGGCTTCAACCTGGCATTTTCAGTGAAATTTACATGTCGAAAGATCATAATATTATGGGTTTTTTTTTCCTTAAAGTCTGTCCAATTTGAAGTAGTAAGTTATGTACGTCTTCTTTTGAAGTCGTGTCGTAATTAGAGAGATATTTATACACAAACACAAACTGACAAAAGTAGGCTAAGCATACATGATGTGCCTTACTGTGAACCCACATAATAGAAACCATGCGAGTACAAATCCCAGGCGGCTCATCA